ATAAAGAAACCCCACACTCATTAGCAGTTCCTGGTTCCTCTCTGCTCTTGGCCCCAGAACCCACAAATCCACTTCCTGTCTCCTTTTTGCCGGCCTCGGGTGTTTGTTTTCTGTAACTGACTCCTACAGTATAGTGGGTGGTTTTTGCCACTGTCTTCTCCCACACTGTGGTTGTTTTCAAGGTAGATCCATGTTATATCATGCATTGTTCCTTATTTTTATTGAATAATATTTTCCTAAATTCGACATTTTCTTTATCCATTTGTCAGTTGATGGACATTTAAATTGTTAGTAAGTAACTTTGGAGATGAAGTCAGTTCATTAATATCTTTTCACCCACATATATTCTTATTATATTGATTGATTTTTTTGTGTTTGTTTTGTTTTGTTTGAGACAAAATCTCACCATATAGTTCAGGGCGGCCTCAAACTTTCAGTGATCCTCCTGCCTCAGCCTTCTAGGTGCTGGGATTATGGGTGTGCACTGTCACACCAGGGTGTGTATTGAAATTTTTTTTTTTTGGTACCGGAGATTGAACTCGGGTCCTTGCACTTGTGCAGCAGTTGGCAAAACCACTGAGCTAAATCCCCGGCCCATTGAATTTTTAATGTTACAAGATTCTTTTTTTTTTTTCCCCATTAAGTTTATTGGTACATTTTAGGTATAAAATACAGTTACATTCATCATTGGGATCTTGTACCATTACATGAGTCTCTTGGTTGTTACAAGATTCTTACACTGCTAGTCCCATGCCTCAGAATTAAAATTAAAAACATGGTAAAATGGACAGCCTCATCTTCCTGTGGTACAGTATATTAAAATTTGATTTGTGCATTTTGATACTTTTTAAATCTTTTAAAAATGAGGTAGTAAGAGTGTGTTACGTCTGCCGTGGGTCTTCAGATCCTGGCATGCCAGGTCCATCCCCTGCTGTCTGGCCTCTCCCTCTGCCCTCAGTGTGTCCTAGAAACACTCGTGGCCCGACGGGATTTGCTAGGTATCGGTGAGGGTGGTGGTAGGAATCCTCCCTGACACTTACTGCCTTCCTCAGACCCGAATACAGACGTCCTTTAGATTCTGAAATACATAATTGAGAATTCTTGCTATGTAATGGTCAGGGGTGCTATAATTAAACTTTAGATTTCTACATTAATCACATACATGATCAACAACACTTTGCATAGTTAAATTTATTCCTAAACCTAATGAAACATTTTAATGATCAGATAGTACATATTGAATATTAATATACATTAAAGAGCTTGAACTTTCGACTGTGGTTTAATATCATAACGTGCATTAGTACATTTGACTAGCTGTACTTGAATTTCCGTATTTACAAGAATTGTGGTTTTCAAAGTACTGTTTGAAATCTGAGTGTTCTTGACCACTGTTAAAACAAGGGTGGGGACACAGCCCACTGGTGGAACACTTCCCAGGGGTCACTTCCAGAAAGGAAGGAGATCAGGAAGGGGAAGGAAGCAAGGAGTCAAGGTAGGAAGAAAGGAAGGATGTTGGTTGGAGAGAGAAAAAGAAAGGAAACATTTTGTTTGCACCTTCATTGTGAATGTGAGGTACCCAGTGTGCCTCAGCAGGAGGCTGGGCATTGTCCATTGCCAGCCGAAGTCCCATCGCAGGGAATTCAACTCGTGCCGGTGTCTGGAAGCTTCACACTGAATGGTACGGGTGGATCAGGAAACTGGGGGCCACAAATGCTGCGCACAGAACCACATGGAGGCTTCAGCCTGGCCCTCTTCTCCTTTCATCTGGAGCAGGAATTCATGCCTGTGGCTGACCCCGGGCCTGGCTTCACATTCAGTTCCCCTCTTCTGGCTACAGGAGCGCAGGCTCAGAGCAGGCAGGTATCTGAGTGGGTTTTAGCCGGAACCTTTCCCTGACGGCTAAGGAAACTGGGCCGCAGGGCCTCACTGCTGATCTGGGCCACAGAGACTCCTGACCCAGCCCCGAGCTGCCACCCTGCACCCTGCTGCCCGCCCCTCCTCTGGGCATCAGTGTGGGGGACATGTCCAGATCTCCTGCTTGTCCCTCTGTGTTATAACTCAGATGCTACACTTCATTCTCTTTCCTCCGAACTCAGGATGCTAAATTACACCCTGGGTCCAAAACAGCACCTCGTCCTGGGGTGCAGCCACTTGCATGTGCGGGCTGGGCCCTGGCATCCCTGGCTCATGACAAAGCAAGGCTGGGGCAGGACAGTGTCTTACCGAGATCCCGGTCAGGCTGCATGGACAAGGAGCCCAGGCCTGCCTGCCCCGAGTCTGCCCTTCACTCACTCGCAGTTCTAGCTGTCCAGCTCTCCCTCTGTCAGAGGCACTTCTGACACCGCGTGCATCATGTCCCCTCCTCTGACACGCTGTCCTTGGGCCCTGCATCCTGGGTTTCATCTTGAGGAGCAGGTACCCCCCTGGAGCACATGTGGAAGCCCCCAGGAGGGGGATGGAAAGGGGACTGGACCCACAGCGCTGCTGGGGAGCAGACTCGGGGCCTCCCTTGTCCTGCCTCCGCGCTGGAGCCTTGAGGCCAGAACCAGGTGCCAGGCCGAAGTTAAGGTGGTGGCAGGCAGTTCCTTCTGCACTCTGGGAGTGGGCATGGTGCCTCGGATGTCCTCCAGTGCTGGTGGCTTGGGACAGCCTTGCACTCCTGGACCAGGACACCTCACTCTGCCCTGCCTGTCTCCCCCAGGCTGCTTGCCAGGCCTCTCACAGGGTTCCATTCAGTGTCATCTACCGCCTCACCTTGATCACACTGCAGATACCACATCTTCACATCCAGTCACATTCTGGGGATCTCAGTGGATGTGAATGTTGGGGGAACACTGACCAAATGCATGGGTTTTTGCAACATGGGATGGGTACAGAAGGCAGAGGAGGTGAGGACCGTGGGGGAGCATGGATGTGAGCAAGGCTGCACTGCAGGGTGTCAGCTCCCTGCCCCAGCAGGGCATGGTCAGACCCGGATATGCAGGGATGAGGAGGACAGGGCTTGCACGGAGGACAAGGTCACACACTGCGCTAGTGGGGCTGACCGGCTCAACACTGTTCCACAGGAAGCGAGGCTGGTCCTCAGCTTTAGGCGTGAAAAGGTTCTGTGTATTAAAAATTTGGCATTACGTGCGGGTAAATTTTAACAGCTTAAATTGAGGCAGATTTAATTTTGAGGTAAACAAAATAAATTGTAGTAGCATTTTAAAATTAATTTCTTATTTTAGAATAGTTTTAGGTTTACAGAAAAGCCCCAAGTATGGAGAGTTCTCCTGTACCCTATACCTGGCTTCCTCTGCTGTTCACATCTTACATTAATGTGGGAAGGATGGACCACTATGGGTACATTATTGTTAACGAAAGACCATGCTTTAGTTAGGCGTGGTGGCACACACCTGTGATCCCAGCTACGTGGGAGGCTGAGGCAGGAGGATTGCAAATTCAAGGCCATCCGGGGCAACTTAACAAGACCCTGTTGGATGGATGGACAGACAAACAGGTAGGTGGAGCTGAAGATGTAGTCAGTGCTCCCTGGGTTTGATCCCCAGGGCCCTCTACCCCTCGCCTTCTTGGGCCCCCCTCCAGGACAAGACAGGACAGCCAGCCACATGTCTCCCTGGGCCCCTCTAGAGGGGTGGTGTTCTTGCTCTTGGTGACTTTGATGGTTATGAGGAGCGCTAGCGCTGGTCAGGCAGTTCGCTGACCTTCTGTGTGGGTCTTCTGATGTCTCGGATGGACTTGAGTCTTAGGCTTCAGACAGGAAGCCACATTCTCGTGACGCCATCGAGTCTCGTCCCAGGGCGAGTGCCATCACGTGACTTCCACACGCGGCTGTCGATGTGGACCTTGAGCACCTGGCCGAGCTGGCCCATGGCAGGCTTCTCTGTAAAAACCCCCGCACCCCTTACTGTTCTGTTTGTGAGGAAGTCACTGAGCCACGCACACAAGAGTGGGAAGTTGCATCCCACCTGCTGCCTCAGCCTCCCAGTCGCAGCGATTACAGGTGTGCACCCCAACCCAGCTTCGGTTCGTTCCTTTCGTTGTCTGCTCATTGTCTGAATGGGCCAGTCTGTTTATCCACTTACCTATGACAGGACATCTTGTTGATGCTGACTTTTGACAATCATGAATAAAGCTGCTATAAATATTGACATACAGGTTTGTGTAGACAGAAGTTTTCAGATCAATTGGGTAAGTACCTAGTGTCAGTGCAGTTACTGGATCATATGCTAAGACTATATTTAGCTTTATCAGAAACTGCCAAGCTGTCTTCCAAAGTGGCCCCACCATTTTGCGTTTCCACCAGTAATGACAAGAATTCTTGTCGCCCTGCATCCTGATCTGTGAGGGGTTTTATGTCTGTTTCAAATGTTGGCTGTCCTAGGAGGTACATGTAGAGCTATCTGATTATTGTTTTAATTTGCATCTCCTAATGACAAATGATGTTAAGCATCTCTCCACATGCTTATTTGCCATCTGCCTTCTTCTTGGATGAGGAGTCTATTCAGGTCTTTTGCACATTTTTGAAATTGGACTGGTTATTTTCTTCCTGTTGAATTTTGAGAATTCTTTTTAATGTTCTCTACGCAGGCTTTTTATCAGATATATAATTTGCAAATACTTTTTTCTCAATCCATGACTTGTATTTTTATCCTCTTGAATGTCTTAAAAAATTTTAATGAGGTCCACATTTTTCAGATTTTTTTCTTTCATGGATTGTGCTTTGAGCATTGCATCTAAAACTCATCACCAAACTCGAGAATGTTTGCTTCTGGAAATGTTACAGTTCCATGCTTCCCACTGATCCCGGTTTCTCTTTGGGTAGCGAGTGAGGCTGGTGTCTAGGTTCACTGTTCAAGCACCATTTGTCACAAGACCTGAGTCACTTCTGCTGGCATTTTCAGTTGACGTCCTCTTCCTTTCCGCATAGCTTAACTTCTATAAAGTGTCACCAGCCGAAGGGGACATTCTCATTCCCTCTTCCGCTTGTCTTACAGCAAGACCACTGGTGCAGACCCTGCCTTTAAGAACCACTGTCAACAATGGCACCGTGTTACCAAAGAAACCCAGTGGCTCTCTGCCGTCCCCCTCAGGAGCCAGGAAAGAAACCACCGCACTGGTGACCAAAAGGTAGGCCAAAGGCATGCCTTACGGGAAGTGAGGATGCAGCTCTTTCGTTGATTTTGAAGAGTGTTACTTCGGCAGGTGACATTACACACTGTTTCTCTTGAGTTAAAGCTCATCCAGGTCCAGCCCTCCGTGCGTTGCTGTTATGCACAGAAACTATGTACGTTATTCCTCTTGTTGTTTTAGATTTAAATGCATTGTCTGTGAAATCTCATTGGCTAAAACCATGGTGTGCCTTTCTGTATTTTCACTTAAGGTTCTCTTTATAAAAATAAGAGGGACCTGGGCTGGGGATTTAGTTCAGTGGTTCCGGCACCTGCCTCACAAGCGCAAGGTCCCGAGTTCGATCCCTGGTACCAAAAAAAATTTAAAAAAAATAAGAGGGACCCTAAAAAGAGGTTAAAATGAGTATGTTGTTCCTGCATCCACATTTGGAATATAGCAAAAGGCAGGTTGCCATAGCAACTTTGACTTTTTTTTAATCTGTAAATAGATAAGCACCTACTTTTAAATGGTACCTAACAGTAAAGCTCTAGATATTAATGTCTGTCAGGTGGGTTATAGTTTGCTCTCAACTTTTTTTGTATAATTTCATAATTGGCATATTAAAATGTTGTATTTTGTAGCCAGTGTAAATTCTTTAGGCTGTGGAAAATTAAACACCTGATGCTTATGTAATATAAAAGCCTCAAGGAAATCCTTCTGCCGCTCTCCGTCAGGGCATTAAGCATGCAACAAATTGTAGAATCCATGAAAATACTAAGTAGGGCCCAGCTGGGGGCCTGGGCTCTGAACACGTCCTCGGCTCCCTGAGGGCTCCTGTGGGCCTGGAGAGGTCATGCCGTGTTTGACGCTGTTGTGACAGAATGAAAATCTCTCCATCTGTCTTCTCTTTTTGTCCAGTTCGGTCTCCAGGGCTCTCTCAGAAAGTTTCTATGAACCCCAGCCTGTCCTGCAGGGGATTGGGAATTTGGTGGTGGGGTTTCCGTGGGCCTTTCATGCGCGATGTCTTCACCTCCACAGAGGCCGAGGTTCTGTGCCTGCCCATGACCCTCTCACAGGTGGCTGATTTCCACTGGTAGTTCCCTGTGGCTCTGGTCAGCCCCATGTCTAGTTGACTCCAAGACAGACACTCTGGGAGAGCCTGAGTCTGGAAAGAAGTTAAGTTTGTATTTTGGATCAGGCAAGATCATAGGAGGGGATGGAATGAGACACAGAGAAGCATTTCCTTGCTCACAGGTCCAGGAGGAAGGAGGGGAGCCCCTGGCAGCTGACATTGGGGTGCTCAACCAACAGCAAGGGCTGTGGGACCAGGCCTTTAAAAGGTAGGGCCCAGGCACCAGCCTGTGGCTGGCCCAGTGCTGTGGATCAGCGACTTTAAGAAAAACTTGTACCAAGCAGAGAACTGGTGGGCAAGGTTCTGGAGGGTAATATCAGGTGCTGCCTTGGGGGCAGTGGGTTTTGGGTTCAACGCTATGAGGGATAAGCAGGGCGTATGTCAGACCAGGAGGGGATGTTTTAAGTAGGCCAGAGGTGACTGGGTTTCAAATAAATCATGTCAAGCCTAAAAACGGATGCTGAGCAGCAGCTATATTAAACAAACTTATGACATCTTTTGAATATGTGGTTTATACAGAATGACCTGTCCTTGACCAAAGCATGTTCTCATTGTGTTTCACCATGTAGTTTATGCTTTTTTTTTTTTTTTTTTTGGTACCGGGGATAGAACTCAAGACCTTGTGCTTGCGAGGCAGGCGGTAGAACCACTGAGCTAAATCCCCAGCCCCTTATGCATATATTTTTCGTGAAATTTTAAAAATGGTTTTTGCAGTACTTTTTAGAACCTTAAAATGCAATTCTTGGCCTAATTTTATATCTAACTGAACCATTTGTATTTATAATTGACCCAAAATGCCCTGAATTCTAGCTGGCAGCAGTAGATAAAACTTTTATGCATCTCCATGTGAGATTAACAAGATTGACTTTCTTCTTCAGGATTCAGGTTTCCATCTGTTATGTTTTATAATTGTGCTAAAAAAAATAACCCACATAACATTAAATTTGCCAGCTTAACCATTTTTAAGTATACGGTTCAGTAGTGTAAAGTATGTTCATATTGTTGTTCAATAGATCACTAGAACTTTTTCATTTTGCAAAACTGAAACTATGCCCCTTAGACACAGCCCTTGGCCTCCATGTCTATACTTTCTGTGATTTTGATGCCTTCACACAGTTCATATGAGGGAATCGTGTGTCTTTGTCCTTCTGTGACTGGATTATTTGCTTAGCATACTGTCCTTAAGGTTCATCCATGTCCTAGCATATGACCAATTCCTATTTAAGGCTGAATAATATTCTGTTTTAGAGCCATATGCCCTGTGCAGGGCTGAAAGAAAAAAATTTAAAGCCTTAAAAAAAAAAAAAAGAAATTTGAAATGTGGCTATAATTTGGTTCATTTGCTTCATGAGAACATATGTGAAGCATTCTTAATCTGTTTGATTTTGTAGAAGTTTCTACATTTGGTTCAGAGTAAGTTTGATGTACAATAATGCCCACATATATGGTTTTCTTAGCCCTCCTAGGATTCATTGATGTGATTTTTAGAATTCTTAGAAGATTGTATTTGGAGCTCCAATATTTGAAACAATTTATTCACAGCAGGCTGAGTGTCAGGCTGAGTTCTTTGAAACTGACCACAGGAGTACAAAGAACCTGACACTTTCCCATAGAATCGGAATGAGACAAGGAGTGAGACAAGGAGGCTGAGGACTTCACCCCTGTGTGTGTGTGTGTGTGTGTGTGTGTGTGTGTGCAGGGGGGATTAGAGACAGAGTCTTACTTTGTAGTTCAGGCTGGCCTGGAACTCCCTACACTCATCCTGCCTCAGCCTCCAAGGGCTGGGATTACAGGTGAGAGGCACCACACCTAGCTTCAGCCCCTTTTAAAGTCAGTGGTAATGATAGAAATCATTTTTTGATACTTACTTAAGCTAAGTGCCAGGTATTTGATACTGTTATCTCTGATCCTCAAAACAACCAGGCAGGGCAGGTATTATTATCCCTGTTTTGCCAGTGAGAAAACTGAGGGTCAGAGAAGGGAAGCGTGCTTTACAGGGAAGGGCCCCAGGGCTAGAAAGGGACTCCACCTGGGTCTGTCTGTCTGTCTGTCTGTATGAATGTCTGAATGTCTGCAGAGCTCCTGCCCTTCTCGGTGCTGTGCCCTGACATCTACTCCTGAAAAGCACCTAGTGGGACCACAGCTTGAAAGAGGCCTGCTTTGTGCCCATCCAGTCTGCCGCTGTCAGTTAGAAGCCAGAGCTGTGGTCCAGAGTGAGGGCCATGCTGGGCAGAGGTCCCTGGTGGGCTGTGAGCCTGAGACAGAACCGCCTGTTCGTAAGGGCTACGGGCCAGACTCCAAGTGGAGCAGCAGGCCCCAAGTTCTGGCCAGACAAGCAAAGCTCCAGGAGGTGATTACTGAGCTGTCTCAAGAGGAAGGCAGGAGCGAGGGGACAGAGGGCATATCACATCCATAGCCATCGTGCGACCCGTGTGTGAGAATGTGTTAGCAGTTGACCACCAGCCGTGCATGCATGACTGTCTCATTGTGCAGTTTGCACCACCCGGTGGGCCTGTCCCTGCTGCTCGATCAGACAGCCATGCAGGTGCCACCTGTGGCTCAGAGCCCTCTGGCAACTCGACAGGAATTATGGTGTTAAACAGTAGCCCTCCTTCCAGAAACAGTCTAAGGCCTCTGCAGACTCTTTTAGTTTACAAGAGAATCCACTGGGTTATCTGCTAAGCTGCTGTCAGTGTAAAGTTGCCCGCTGGAGACATGTGGCTTTCTAGACTGAGTGTCCAGGACTGGGCTCTGGGTGAGGCGACTCATCTGGCTTCCCAGACTCCGTGGGTCCAAGACCCCATCAGTTCCTAAGCTGGAAGTAGAAGTGGCAGCATCTTGTCGTGACTCTGGGGTCACATTCCTACAGATCACTCATTAGTGGAAAGAAACAAGCAGGGCATCCTGTGTATTAGGATTAAAACAGCAATGGAGTAATTTCAAATATGTTTACAAGCACACGGGAATTTTTCAGTAATCAGAGTTACGAATGAATCGAGTTGGGGCATCTGCAGTGCATGCATGGGTATATGTTTGTTTTCTTTTCTCTGGGGGTTTTTCAGCCTGGTGCTTAAGAACAAAATCCCCCTTGGAAATAGTCCAGCCCCCAGCGGTTGTGCTTTGTGTTGCCAATTAAGACTTCTACTGGGATTGGGGTCTTGCCTTGGAATCTTCGGGAGAGCTTTGTTTCCATTATTCAAAGGGAAAAAGGCCAAAAATCCAGGGAAGACTTTGCAGGTCACACCTAGCTCTGTGGAACGCTGCCGCCCGACAATAAAGAACATTTCCACTGCCCTGAGAAAGAGACAATCACTCATTCTCTCAGCTCGCAAGTAGAGCATTACAGTGGGCAGAGCTATGAGAATAGAGATCAGAAGAACAAAACTGGTACAGAAAGCATTATTTTAAAAGTGCTCAGTGCCAAGTACAAGCTAGAATAGTAAAATAGTTATTGTTCCCAAACAAATGGCCAACAGTCCTTTGGAAAACAGTTCCACTTGTTCAAAGTACAGCATTTGCAAGTGCCCTGAAGTCAGGCCCAGAAGGATACACGCTTTGGAGAATGAAAAAGAAAATCAGTCTTTAGCTGGTTTTTAAAAAAAATTATTCCTAATGTATTTGTTTGTTATCCAGAGCCATTGCTTTGGTCTGTCCTCAGTCCGTTTGGCCTCCATTCCTTACCAGAAGTTGTACAGCAACCCCTGCCCCCACAGAGGTAGTTGCCTTCCTGTGGCAGAAAAATAACTTTTCTTCTGAAAGATCCCTGAGACAGTGAGCCTTCCTAGGAAATGCCCTGTATTTTGTCACAAAGATACATATTTTAGACGGTGATTAAGTGTGTAATCTTCGTCCATCAGAATTAGGTATGACAGAGTTTGCAGAACAAAAGCCGTGTTGGTCCTGGTCCTTGGCTGGCCCTGCTGGTTTTCAGCCCAGTGCGTGGTCAGTGCCTAATACGGATCTGTTGAGTGAATACTTGTTTTACTCTAGTTACTCACCTGGCTGTCACAACAAGTGAAAGTACTGAGAAACCTCTGGTCATGCCTGAGAGCTACCTGTCAAATTTCTGTTCCCTTTGTAAAAGTTTGGGATCTTTTTGTAAAAATTTGAAAAGCCATTTCTTGACTCCAAATCGCTTGATGAAAGAAAGATGGAATTGTAGCTTCTTTATGAGCTGTAACCCACCCATAATGAGCACCAGTCTTCACTGGAGAAATTTTACTATGTCTGAAATTTAAATTGGCAAGAATTCTTGGCGCATACGAGATGTAAGGAACCATCTTACTTGCAGAATTTAGATCTGAGGGTTGGGCGTGGGCATGGAGAACAGAGGGAAAGGGAGAAATGCTCATCCATTTACACCCCAGAGACCCGTTACCTGCCTTCAGCACGAAGAACATACTGCATTATTTTGCCATCGCTGGCAAGCAGGTGCCCCTGCCATTTTCAAAATAAAGAGCATTGTTTTCACTTGCGGTCCAGAGGGAACACAACTTCTTTGATGTTCCCTGCTAGTGATTTAGGGAGACTTCCTGCAGTGAGTCCACAGTGCTGTGCTCTCTGGCTGCCCTCCTTGCTGCATATGTCTGTCTTCAAGCTTTTATTTTCTGTCCCTCATTGGAGTCCTAGGAAATCCTCTTTCATTCATAAGAGCCCTTGGCTCTCAAAAGGAAACGTCTTTTTTTTTTCCTGCCAATAGGACAATAGTAAGATTTTTAAAAACATTTTGATGCAAATGTGGGAATGACAAATGACTTGAAAGAGCTGTGATGGATTAGACCCAAGTCTGTATATGCAAAAGCAAAATGCTTTTCCATTTTGATGTGCAGAACCTGCAGCGTCTTGAAGCTTCTTAAAATTCTTTTCCGCACTTTGATCCCTGTGCTCACATTTGTTCCACTTTGTTTCTGTGTGTAGCTTAAACAGGTCTGTGTCTTCTCCAGCAGGCAGAATAGATCAGCCCCAAGGTGAGAGAGCTCAGCTCTGCTTTGAGAGCCTGGCCCCTGTCCGGTCATCTCCTTCCGGTGTGAGCACAGGGCCTTAACGGCCCAGCCCCATCCCGGGCCTAGTGCAGCCGTGCCACAGCCAGCTGTCCGTTATCACTGAAAGCGCTGAAGGGTTCGCTGTCAGGGGCCTAGCGTGTGTGACTGTACTAACATTGATCAGCGTCGGGTTTGTGGGTGCCCCAGAGGTCCCCTCAAGCTAGTGCACTTCCGTGTTTCATAAATCACGGGTGAGCTTAGTGGCTGGTGGGGGTGTGTGCCTGTGTGCACACACGTGCGTGAGGTCGCCAGCCCCATGATTTGCTGAGCCTCAGACAGGTGCTGTCACGCCCCAAGCTTGCTCCCCTGTAGGGTGAGGGTGACGGTTTCTGTGAAATGGCACAGCACAGGTAGAGCTCTGACCCCTGCACACTCGTGAGCACTGCTCTGGCCGCTGCCTCCAGCGTTGCCCCCTGCCTGGCCCCAGGTTGATTATTCATCATCAGAAAATTGGTTCGGGTTTGCTGTGATTGACTGCTCAGCCTCGTGAGGGTGTTTTATACAATTCTTTAAATTGCCATGAACTTGCCGTGAACTCCCCCAAGGACACCACAGAGGCGACGCTGTGGTTTGCTCTGTCTCAGGTCCCCCAGGCCCCATCAGCTGTTCACATGCAAAGCTTGGGCTTGGCCTGGGCACTTGGCAGAGAACAATGCCCCTGGGCTATGTTCGCCTTGTTTTCCTCATTAGAAGATTTTGAACTTCAAGCACAAAAGCTTCTGTGATTTTTAGACAACAATCCCATGTTGCAGAAATGTACTGTTCTCCTGAGGTCTGTAATTTTCTTGTCCCTAAACTGAGCAATTCAATGGGCATGGTGGTGGACACCTGTAATCCCAGCACTGGGGAGGCTGAGGCAGGAGGATTGCTACAAGTTCAAGGCCAGCCTGGGCTACACAGTGAGTTCAAGGCCAGCCTGAACTGCCTACTGAGACTCTGTCTAAAAAGAGAAAAGAAAAATGGACCACTCTTAAAAACTCACACTTGACCTTAAGACATGCCCTTGTAGGGCTGGGGATTTATCTCAGTGGTTTTGCTGCCTGCCTCACAAGCGCAAGGTCCCAAGTTCGATCCCCAGGACCAAAAAAAAAAAAAAAAAAAGACACGCCCTTGCTATTTCCAGTTGGATACTAGTGCTGATTATGCAAAGCTTTCTCAGTTACCAAAAAGACTGCGCAAGAAGGGCACTGAAATAATTGTGATCCTGGTCACTTTATTGACTTCACTCACCCCCAGAGGTGAGTTTTCAGAAGCCAAGTACCAGTCAGTGTTTAAAAACAACGTGAAGAGGTCATTAACTGGACGGTGAGAAGGTGCAAAGGGAAAAGGATGGGAGGAAGAGACTGAGGAGGGACAGACAGTGAAGGGGCCAGGAAGAGAGAGCTGGCATGGTGCAGTGGTCCTGTGGCCGTGGGACCTCGGCTGCTGCTTGCTGCTCCTTTGTGAGGCTCAGTTCTGTGTCCTCCGTGAGTGCCATCCCCCAACCCTCCCCTCTCTCCCGAGCCCCATCCACACTTAGCCTTTCCTGGGCTCACTCTCCTCTCCCCTCCTCCCCACTTCCTCCACGTCTGTGGCTCTGTGGCCCCTCAGCCGCCACCAGATGGACAGTCCTGCCCTGAGCCATCAGCAAGTGGCAGACGAGTCGCAGATCGGTGCCTCTCCCTGCCACACCAGCCCTGGGGCATCCCCACCATCCTCCCTCCCCGCCTTCTTCCAAGTCAGGTGTGAATCGGAGCACCTCGATCTCTCTGGGTCAGGGTGGCAGCGGGGGACCCCCGATGACGTATCCATCGGTTTCACCCTTTTCCGTGATAAGTCTGCATGGAGCTTCTTTGTGAGGCCCTGCAGCGATGCATAATGATCGGTGAGCCCAGATCTCAACAGTGCTTGTGATGGAGCCAAAGAAGACGAGCGGGGACAGCTGGGACACAGCCACGTTGCGCTCTGCCTGGAGCCTGGGCCGCTGCAGCAGAGTGGCCGCAAGCCCAGCCCCGGAAGCCGGCTCTCAGGAGCTGCCGTCAGGTCCATGTGAGAGCTGCTGGCCACAGCCTGCGCCTGCTCACCACGTCCCCCGTGCCAGGAAGAGGCGAGAGTTGTCCGTTTCCGAAGGCACTGATCACAGTCACCAGGGCTCGGCCTCGTTACCAGTGCCCCTCCAGCCTGGTCCCCAGATGCTGAAGCCCTGGGGGCTGGGGTTTCAGTGCCAGCAAGCCGAGGACATGGCCCTCGGTCACCGCTTGCTCCGCCTGGGTAAGGTCGGTCTTCCCACCCAGGCCCTGGCTCTGCTCAAGCCGTGGGTCTCCCTTTCCTAGAGGCAGACACCTCAGCCTGGGTAGTCACCACGCAGCCAAACCCTTCATTCAATCTTCCCCAGAGATGCCTGGCTTCGGGCAGCCTGCAGGCCTCCTTTCCCAGGGTGCCAGCCGTGCCAGCCCCTCTCTCTGTGCAGTGTGAAGTTGATTGCTTTGCTTCCCGGCCAGGCACTGCCTCTAATGAGGGCATTTACACGAGGCCATTTCTGTTGTCACTGTGCCACGGGCACCCTGTCACTGTCCCGTCACCTTTAGGCCGAGGCTCTTCAGCACCACCACTGTTGGCATGTGGGCCTGAGTGATCAGTCCCTTGCTAGGGCCCATTGTGGGCTTCACAGGATGTGTAGCTGGCCCCTGGCCGTACCCCCTGGGGGCCAGTAATGGTCCCCTTACCCTGAGCTGTGGCGACCGGAAGTGCTTCAGACCTTCCACCTGTCTCCTGGGGGCGACATCACCGAGGTTGAGCACCAGTGGTCCAGACTGAAGCACCCCGAGGGCAGGGTCACGCGCCTTCAAGCCCAGGCCACATCCTGTGCCTCAGTTTCCTGAGTTGACAAAGTGACCCGAGTGATGTTCTGAACAGCTTTTTGATCCGTGCAGCTGGGGCTGTAGAACTGATCTGTCTCTGATATCCACGAAGCAGAGTGAGACCCTAAGTACCGAGCTGACACTTGGCATCAAAGTGGGATGGCAGCATGAAGGGTGTCATTGTCCCCTCTTTCAGCAGCATCAAGCGGACCAGCTCTTCCGAACGTGTGTCCCCTGGTGGCCGGAGGGAGAGCTCTGGGGACTCCAAGGGAGGCCGGAACCGCACAGGCTCCACCAGCAGCTCCTCCAGTGGCAAGAAGAACAGCGAGGGGTAAGGCGACCCCTGGCGGGGCCCTGCTGGGACACTCGCTACTCCTGGTGCTGGGGACGTCGGGGACCCCTGGGGGCGAGGCCCTCATCCAGGCACCAGGCTCCTCAGAGCACGGGTGTGGCGCTGACCAGTTGTTGAGGGCAGCTGCCGGGCACAGCTCAGACAAACCACTTCCAGGTCAGAAACCTGTAACGGGCTCCCAGGTCCCAAGAGGGCAGAAGTGGCTCCTGAGACCCGCACACTTGGGAAGCCATCCTGGGCCTCCGTGAGAAGCGCATTATCCCTCTAATGTACCTGCGACCATCTTAAGGTTAATGGAATGGAATGTTTTAAACCTGTCAATAAGGGCTGGGATTTAGCTCAGTGGTGCCGCTGTCTGCCTCGAAAGCGCAAGGTCCCGAGTTCTATCCCTGGTACCAAAAAAATAAAAAGACTGTCAACAGTATTTTTTGAAGGCAAAATGGGCCCAAAGTTGTAATTTTATAATTTGTCAGAGATCCTAATATTGAACTAACAACAGCAATAGGAAGCATTTATTTTTTTTGGTACTGGGGATCAAACTCGGGTCCTTGCACTTGTGAGGCAGGCGGTGGAACCACTGAGCTAACTCCCCAGCCCCTAGGAAGCATTTTTTCTTTCTGGTTTCCTGACCTACTTTTACTCCCAACTTTGAGTTTTATATGAGATTAGTTTATAATGGGTTATTATAAATATAATATAAATAAATATAAATTGATAGTAACTTCTTACTCATTAGCTACTTTTTTGGTGTTTTAACAGCTTATTGGTATGTTTAAAAATGTATGGATGAGGTCAGTTTTTCTGTGTGCTTAATGTGCTTTAGTCTAACTCTTTAAACATTGTACTTTCATTTTGTTCTCTGTTTACCAGAGCTCAGGGAGGAATTTCAGTTCCAGAGGCCAAACATGTTTCTTTTCAAATGCTCATGTCAGGAGAAGGCTTAGTCATAACACAGCCTACTCCAAACTGCAGGCCCCAAGTTTGTAAATACATTGTGATTCGGTCCTGTAAAGGATGCTTAACCTCTTTTCCAGTTTTATTCCTACAAGGTACGTTTTATAGAAAAAATGCAGACACTGTAGCAGGTAGAGTCCGCAGTTGTAAACCATCGCCATAAGGCCTGTCTTCTAATGCAAACTCAGTACTTCCTGTTGGAATTATGGTAATTGGGTGATAATACCTTGGAAACCAGGCCAGGTGGTCGGTCACAGGGCAGCAGAGTGTGAGCCCCGGGGAGGCACACGGCCCTGAAGGCTTCTCGGCATTTGGGATGCACCAGGAAGTTGACCTCAGATGTCTAGATCTTGGCAGTTCTTGTAAACTTGGCTTATTCTGGGCACATCTGATTTTTATTAAGTATTTCCAGAAGGAATCTGCATTGTATAAACCCCAAATCTGTTTTCTGTTTTTAAATCCTATGGCTTTGGTAAATGTGCTGGGTAAATATTTTCATCAAAGACATTTACAAAGGGACTTTTGAGAAATGCCACAGTAGGAAATTTTGATTTGGGAATGAGGGGCCAGGAAAGTGTGCTAATCATTTTCTAAAAATAATCCAGACAACTGAAAGTGTCTATGTGAAAATAAATCCTGTGCCTTATTAGAACCCAGGGCTGGTAGAAGCCAGCCTAGCGTGAGCTACTTGAGTTGCTGGGGCTTCGGGAAGGTGCTGGGCCTCCCTGGGGTGGCTGCTGGTACTGACGGGCACCTTCAGGGGCTCACGGCCTTGATAGCAGAGATGCGGTTGGGAGCAGCAGGAGGGAAGGAAGGTTGAGTCGGGATCCAGGTGCTGCCGGACAGCGTCCTCCACCCCCTCTTCCTTCCTGTATGAGGAGCTCCCTACCTGGCTGCTCTGACCTCCCACCTGCTGAAGAAGCCAGTCTCAGGGCCTAGACAGATGCAGAGAGAAGTTTCAAAACTTGAACACATGGCGCGAGTCTGTGATCCCAGTACTCTGGGAGGCTGACGCAGGAGGATCTCACATCAAGTCCATCCTGGACAACTTAGCCACTTTGTGAGACCCTGTCGCAAAATAAAAAATAAAAACAGGGAGGCTCTGGGTTCAATCCTCAGTACCACACACACAAAAAGGAAGACTAAGGGAAGGGGTCTTAAGAGCATCTGGCCGCTGGTCCTTACCCTGCCCCTCACTTGGTAGCTCAGTCGCACATGTTCATTGTTCCAGTGGCTGTGTCACATTTAAAAGATTGGCTCACTTGGGCCAGGGATTTAGCTCAGTGGTCCCTGGTATCAAAAAAACCACATTGGTTCACTTGATGGCTGCAGGCAGCAAGGCAGCATGGAAAGGGCTCAAAGATCTGGGTTTGTCAGCCACTTCTGGCCTCATTCCCCTAAGCCCTTTGTGAGTTAGAGATTGGATACTTGATTCCCTCAAATTTTACTGTCTTAAGTCACTTTCTTCCTCGCCTACAGGAGGACAGCCAGGACTTGCAGAAGGAGAGACTTAGTTCAGCTCAGTTGTTGAGGTTTGGGTCCATAGTCAGCTAGCAGATCCCACTGAGCCCCATACCCAGCCACCTCCCAAGGCCGGCCTGTGAGTGAGTGAGGCTGCGGGGCACAGTGGGGTACAAACCACAGCACTTATGTTAGGAAACAGCAACGAATGCCCATCAGAGCCGGGCGATCCTCAAAAAGGAAACTTACGTGGAGCAGGGGCAAATCATTTATGACTTTTCCAATTCTCAGTTTTATCTTTCTCACATGAAAGATGAGGGTGCTCGGTGACATCTGGTCTCCTCTTGGGTCCGTTGTGTTAAACTGCATTTGTACATGTGACACAATCCTGTGAGGATAGCCTGGGTCTGGATAAAATCTAACCAAGGGGAGGGAGAATAATCAAAGTGTGGAGCATCCCCACGCAGCCCCCAGCTGTTAGAGAGCTGACATTGCGTGTGCCAGTCCCAGGGTGGGTGATGCCCGGTGACCGCCTGGAGCCCCACATCCTCTCCGGGACTCACTGGCACCCAGCACAGCCTGCTGACTTCTGGGGAGAGCGAGATCCTGGCCGGAACTTCCAGCCTGGCCCACTGTGCAGACGCAGCAAATCACACAGCAGTGATGTCTTGCATCAAGCATAGATTATTAGCTACACAGCTCACAATGTGTCACAGCCCGTTGTGCGCTTCGCACAAAAGACACTCTCGCACAAATTAGAAAAAGGATCACTTTACTCAAGAAAAACAGTTCCACATCAATAGAAGTCTTTCTCAGCAATAGTTACAGCAGCTGGAAACTTAGCATCTACACTGTAAAGAGCTTTTGAAGTCACTAACATTAGCGTTTTCCAAAACACAGTAATTTAGTATTAAATAATTACACTTTCTTAGAAACTATATTCTCTATAATAGTTTTAATCTTCTTGCTCCTATATCTCATTTAACTGGGTTGACAGTCTTTTCTGTGACATGACACAATCTCTTTTCGGCAGCACTGGGGATTGAACCCAGGGTCTTCACATTCCGCTACTTTCTCAACCCTTTTTTAAATTTTTTTACTTTGAGACAGGTTCTCACTAAGTCACCCAGGTGGGGCTCAAATTTACAATCTGCTGGGGATTTAGCTCAGTGGTTCCGCCACCTGCTTCAAAAGCACAAGGACCCAAATTCAATCCCCGGTAACACACAAAAGAAATCAAATTTACAATCTTCCTGCCTTAGCCTCTCAGAGTGCTGGGATTACATGTGTGTGCCACCATGCCAGGCCAACATGATACAATCTTAATCTTCATTTTAGAACATTGTTAAATGTTTAAGGTACTTTGCTTGTAACAAGCCACAGAACTTTAACATTGTTTACTATTGGTACTGAAAAGATTTCCATTAAAAACAAAAGCAATGTAGGGCAATGTAATATTTTACTGTATGTATTTTTAATGGTAAATTAATGATAATTATACAGTGATTCATTTCATCATGAAGTACTTATTAAATTTAAATAGGGAAGCAGCAATAACATTCTAATGGAAGACTTGTATAATGTACCCAGTGTACTAGTCTGTAAGGATCTTTTTAATTTTAAAAGGATACTTTGTATCAGACAGAAAAATGGCCACTTATTTAGAAGCCAGTTTATGTCAGATGTTGCTAGATGGATAAAATGTTTCAATTATTATGCTGATTCGCCCTTTGAAATAAGTTCTAGGACCTCTAAGTGGGCAAGATACTGTTTCCATGTAAAGTTGTTGTAATGGGCTGATATGTTAGAACAGGAAATGTGTTAGCCATCTGCTGGCAACTTTGTTGTGACCCACAGACACACTGTCCACCTTTGGGTCCACCAGTTGCAGGAAAAGCCCTTTAGTGCTGCACAACCTGAACACCCTTACTGGGCCAGACAGGGAAGTCAGAGACCATGGTGCTGGGTGCTTTCTAAAACTGCTTCCTGTCGGGGTGCCCCCCTCGAGGATGCCCACTGGGGAGACAGCGCCTCATCGGGTCCAGACAGGGTCAGGGTGCTCCTGTGGCTTGGGCACAGTTGCACCCCAAAGTGCATGTGCTGGGAGCTGCACGGCGTTGCGAGGTGGTGGGATCTGTATTTGTCAGTCACTTCCCTCCTTTCTTATTGGTGAGACAGAGTCTTGCTAAGTAGCCCAGGCTGGCCTCAAACTCATGGTGATTCCCCTGCCTCCACCTCCCCAATGCTGGGATCACAGGTGTGCACACCAGGCCCAGCCCAAGCTGTCATCTAAATCTTAGTGCCCAGCCTGCTGGGGCACAGGGCTCCTCATCATCAGACCTCTCCACCTCTCCAACACGTCCCCCACTTTCCCTCCGCAGGATTTTAAAAGCTCTTTGAGTTTATTTAGTATAAGGAACTCGTTAGGAAATCCAGATGTGCAAAAAGAGGAAACGGATCTCACCACTCCGGGACTCTGGAGCTGAGCATCCACTTTGTTTCGAGGGCACTGGCTGCGCAGTGTATGATTCGGACCTCACAATTCCTCCTGTGAGAGAGAGAGA